CTCTCTCTCTCTCTCTCTCTCTCTCTCTCTCTCTCTCTCTTTTAATTCTATCGCGAAGGGTGATATTTCATTTGTGGCCTTTTTGTCGTACGATAAATTTTTCAAGCCTGTTGATTGGCTATGGGATAGAGAGATCTGAGGACTTCTCTGTTTTGTGCACATTTGTCATACGACAAAAATGCATAAATGAAACAGCACCCGAAGCGAACGTTGTGATTAACGAAATATTTTGCATGATGCACTGACGATCCGCGTAAGATGAGCCAAAGCAATTCGTAATTATAAGGACAAAAGTACACGATCATTAAGGGGTTATTCAGCCTTGAAACTTTCAAAAAATCCAAAATTTTTTTGCTTATTTTTTAATAATATTCTCAATATTAATGAAGATACAGTTGATTATGTCGCGCGAGCGGTGCATAGCAATCGGTGCCTCCACGCCATTGAACTGTTCTATTGTATTTACCTGAATAGTTCAGTCATTATTTGACGTTATAGTTACATATCTGTACTGTAGATGACGTTGACACACAATTTTAATATAGATTATACTGGTCTCTCTTTCTCTCTCTCTCTCTCTCTCTCTCTCTCTCTCTCTCTCTCTCTCTCTCTCGGTTAAAAATCGGTGCGTTCATGTGCTTAAAATACGACGAAAAAAGATTGTTATTGAAACTTTAATCGCGTTTTTTTCAGAATGGTGTTTTCAAAAACGATGGATACAAGAACTATTACAAAATTAATGCAAATGCTTTGAAATTTGGCTCAGTTATTGTCAATTAAATTATCTAAAAAAATACCTGTGGTTTTTGCGATAACATATACTTTTTTTGTAATTCATATTTTTATATTGAATTTTTACGTGATAATTGAACTTCTTTTTTCATGCATGCACCATTTTCACATTTTTAAATATTTTTTTTGTCGAGTAGGTATTTATTCAGTAAATTTAATGCAGATTAAAAAAAATTAATCAAATTTTTGATGTAGTATACTTTGGACCCGTTCTGCTGTCCACTGTGGATACCTCCACGTGCAGGCTTTCGAAAGACGCGCTGTAGCGCCGCCATTTTATTTGCCAGGAATATAATTATTGCACATTTTGTACACTAAGATAAGAGTAACAAATAGATATAAAAAGATTTTTTGTATTGTGTATACAGGGTGACCCATTTTAATCTATCACCCCAAATATTTCCATTCCCTTGCGTTTTACAAGAAAATGTTTCAGACAAAAGTTGTATGGTTTCAAGAGGATCATAAAATGGTACCATTTAACCATGGTGATTGGTACCATTGAATCTTGATACCATCAAGGCCATTGGCGATTGTACCTCTTATCTTCATTTTTACGTAAAAATGAAATTTTAGTGCAAAAATGAAATAATAGGGTTTAATTTAAGAAATTGAAGGTGACCTTCATGTGACCTTTAAGCGACTATCCAAGGTCAAACCAATGGTACCATTTTATGGCCCCCTTGAAACCATACAACTTTGAAACGTTTTCTCGTGAAATGCAAAGGAACGGAAATATTTGGGGTGACAGATTAAAATGGGTCACTCTGTAGTTTTTAGTAATCAACTCCCAAAATAAGATATGATTTTGAGGTCTCCAAGGAATAACTCCTTAAAAGCTGCATGCACGGCACGGGGGGGTACTCACCTACGAAAGTAATTTCCCATTTCTTGTATTCATGGTTATTTCAACGTGATTGCAAAGTGATTTTATTTGTTTTTCGACAGAAAGTTCGAGACGCGTGACCAAGCTTACGACAATATTTTTTTGTTCAGATGATTTCTTGATTTCAATGAGGAATGCTTGGCTACGTTCCATTTCACGCATGATGCGCATGATGCATCTTTTATCCTTGTTATTCACCGAATATTAAACAACGATAAATGATGCATTATGCACAACATATATTAATTATATTATATATATAATATATATATATTTTTTATAGCATTTATTCGTAGTTATCATTTTGTAGTATTTATCCGTAGTTATCATTTCATTTTCTTTGCATGAATCTTCCCTAATTGAATATTCCCTATATATTACAAAATATATTTAATAGGGCTTTCAAAAAACAAACAATAATAATAAGATATTAATAAGAGGGCAATGAGAATATTAACACAGCGCAATACTTGGAGCGCAATACATACAATATATTCAAAATACTTTCTACATTACGTGTTTATACAAAATTCTTGGACGTTTCGGTTTACTTTAAATCATCATCAGCAATGTCATATAATTTTCCATACAGTATTCAAATCCGCAAATGTTGGAAATAGTTTCTGCGTTCAACAGAGGATGAGCATACCCCTACTACTTAGTTGAGAAATGGTTGAGAAATGCCGTGAAATCTCTTCGTTGTTTGACCAAGTGGTTAACCTCCGCCTTCGCAGATCACAATTCAAAGCGCAACATGTCATATTACAATAAGTAGAAGTTATAATATAAAGATATTAAAGGTGCATCCCGATGGAGAAAGAAATAGCGGAGAAAGAAATAGAACGGAACGAAACAGTAACGGAAAAAAGATGGTGGGGGATTAATCAATCAGAGTAATTCCGTTTTAATTCCGTTCCGCTTTTTAGCGAGTGGGTTCCCCATAGCACAGATTTATTACAGAACGGAAAAGGAACGTAAAAATCGTCTATTCTGCTAACCTCACGAAAAAAAAGTGGGCTGCATTCGGCGCTGCAAGAATTAAAAAGAAACAAGAACGGTTTAGTTAATCACGATGCTATTGATGTGTTGTTACATGCGAAAATAAAGTATATATTCTAAAATCTAACATATACAGTCCCATAATTCACCTGATAACGCTCGTGGACAGGTAGAGCAGACTAAACTGAGTCGAAAAGTCCTGTATTATTTTGTAATTTTCACAATAGTTAACAAGATATCAATTACTAAAAATTGCCGAAATTGCTTCAATAATTTTTTTCTCAAATACTATCAATTTTACAAAAAACTGCAAGAGACAAAAATTTTTTATTTTCTTCTCGTGAAACTCTAAGAATTTTTTCAGAATTAAAACAGAGAATTACTCTGATTAGTTAATTCCCCACCATCTCTTTTCGGTTACTGTTCTGTTCCGCTATTTCTTTCTCCGTCGGGATGCATCCTAATAAAGATACTATCCATGTGGAAGTCAAATGCAAAATTAACCAATCACAGTCGAATATGAGAAGAATAATCAACTGTGATTGGTCAATTTTCTACGACTTAAAACCCTACGACCGCTACTTCTATTGTAGATCCCGCAAAATATGTAATCAAATTCCCTTATTATATACATTTGAATTGCCCAAGATGGCTGAGTTCAGTCACGCTCTCATTGGCCAGCAAAAATGTTCTAAGGGCTACCGCCCACAAAATTCCGTAACAGTTACCGTTAGGCCGGAATCAGACTATACATTGAAGATTGAGGTTGAAGATTGAAAAATTCAAATTTGACCAATCGAAATGAAAGGAGCTAAAATTTCTTTGTCCTTATTGGTCAAATTTCAATCTTCAATCTTCAACCTCAATCTTCAATGCGTTGTCTGATTCCGGCCTTAAGAGCTGCTGTCTCATGAGGGTACTGTCCCATGGCACGGAAAACGGAATCGGAAAGGTGAAGTGGTAGGGGCAACTAATCAGCATCGTTCTATATAATAATTTAACATACATGTAATTACAATACTTACAGATGACATTTTCCACCTTATCAATACTCCTTTTAGTTGAATTTTTCAATATTATTCTTAACCGCTAGTGATCACTGGTGATAGACAGTACGAAAAAATTTCCGTTTCCGAAAAATATGCCCCATGGGAAGCCAGTAGACCTATTTTGTAACTTTTGATGACAATTCAGTATCGTTATATTGTCGTTGCGCAGCAACCATTTCACCATGTAAAATACCTGCGCAATGCATCCCTAGCTAGTAAAATTGTTAAAAAGTTACAGAATAGACCTACAAGCTACTTAAGGCCGGTATTCATAGTCAGTTCTTATATTCAAGACCGTCTTAAGTTCAGTCTTGAGATGTCACGAACCAATAGAGGGCCGCATTAGCGTCTTAAGATATTATGACTCCTGCACACTGGACGCGGAAACGCTTGCCGCGCGGCAAAATGCAACGCGGTAACCAATGAACATGTTGGGAGTTGTAAGCTTATTGTCTTCAAATAAGAACCGACTATGAATACCGGCCTAAAATCGGAACGGAACGATGCTGATTGGTTAGCCCTACCACTTCACTTTTCCGATGTTTCACCATTCCGTGTTCCGATTCCGTTTTCCATGCCCATGGGACAGGATCCTCATGAGGTCGACCGCCGCGTTTTTCTGTCAGATTCTTTCGTTTTGAGTAAATGAAAACGCGTCGAATATATTTTTATTAAGATTTTAAGTGGGGGGAGTATTCTAAATAATTATCGAAGTGACTATCAGAAAATGTCATGGCATCTACGTAATTTCCGCCATTTCTGCAGAATAACCGATAACGTACCAAACGTATGAGTACGTAAACGTTTCCATTTAAATCGCTTTTTAAAATATCGAATAAGTGATTAAACAATTAAGCGATACCTTACAAATGGTATGTACAATAAACTGATTTAATTTATTATGATTAATCTTTTAATTTGTTTTCATATTTCTTTATGGCAACATAACCTCAACTACCGACGAGATACTATTAAAGACCGTCAACCCTGGACAAATTTTTGGCGGTATAAAAAGAGCCCGGAGGTAATTGAAGAATGCTGATATTATCGACAATTGATATAAATTTGCTATTATTAACATAAATATTTAGCTAATACATTATTAAATTCATGATTTTTTATTACATAAATGCTCCATAAATAAATATGCATACTTGTAACACTATAATATCCTATATATTGCTGAAAAATTACAATTTTTTCTCTGTAGTTATCATCTCTGTTGATAATCAAACTTTTAACAATAACACTGAAATTACAATTTTAAAGAAAAATCGAGTATTATTGAGTTTTAAGCATATATACCAATAAACACGTCTATTAAACTAATAAATCATAAAATTAGTACAATATTATCAATTTTTTTACTCTAAATTACTTCAATATTAATAAGGACGCAAACTCCCATAAGGATGTCGGTCTTTAATAGTATCTCGTTGGTGCCTCAACCCAATAAATTTGTACTTTTTATTTTTCATAATTGCCCAGATGAAAGACATTAATAGTTTTTCGTACACATTAACAGTTTTTCCACACAAAATTTCCACAGAAAGAGAGGCTATATTAATGCCAATTTTTTATTTCAGACTAATTCGTTGATCCAGAAATTTGTTGTTTACTGTATGGTTATTTTACTGTATGCGGAACATATGCCTGTATGCTAAATACAGGTAGAAGGTAATCAAATGTTTGTATTTTAATAATAATTAGAAGGTTTATATTCTATAAAGAATATTTTTTTAAAAGGCCGTGTTTTGCCCACTGAATGAAACATAATGAATCTTATAGATTTTGATCTGCTGAACACGATAGTCTTAATAAGTTTTTATTAAAAACATGGGGAATATGATCATTTTTCAGATTAAGTTCCTCATTTTCACTGAAAAATAGGACTTTCTCTACACTTTTAATGAAAACTTATTAGCTCCATCGTGTTCAGCAAGTTGAAATCTATAAGATTCACTATGGCCAGTATTCATAGTCAGTTCTTATATTCAAAATCATCTTAAGTTCAGCCTTGTGGTATCATGAACCAATCAGAGGGCTGCATTAGCGTTTTAAGATATTATTTAAGACAGTCTTGAAATAAGAACCGACTATGAAGACCAGCCTATGTTTCTTATATTTCTATTAGTGGGCAAAAAACAACTTTTTTTAACATTGTTCTTTGTATATTCCAGTTGACGAATTCTGTGTTATAATTTTATATAATTTATTTTTTCAGAAAGAATGACACTAGCAGCTCTAGCTACTGAAGTCTTTTATAACGGATGTCTTTTGTGTTGATTCACTGCCTTTTGACGTTACTGCTTTTGTTATTTTGGCTTTTATCGTTATTGCTTTTGTCGTTATTGTTTCTGCCGTTCTCTTTGTGTGAATAAAATCTTCTAAGTAAAAGTCGTATATAATAACACACACACAAGCATTAGTTATTATTAAAAGGATTACACTAAAAGATAAATAACTAACAGAAAGCATATTGGATAAATATTCTCCCATAAATAGCAAAATTAGTTATCCATTAGATGTGAGAAAAAACTTTATCAGCCTAACTGAATGAGTCCTGCATTTGTTTGTGTCGCAAGAAAATGACATCCTTCATCCGACTGTTGTTTGATAAATGATAAGAAAATAAGGATGAACCTCTTATCTGCAAACGAAGGAAGGGAAGTAATATTCTCTTGTCATTTATTTTATAGAAAAACTAAAGTTCAGTCATTATCGAAAGGAATGTCAGTATTCACATTACTTCATGGAACTGCTTCATGGAACAACCAAGCTATATAAAAGGTTCTGACTACATGATGTAGCAAAAAAACGACTGTGATGTGCTAACAGTACATAGTATAAGTTGTAGGATAGTTAATCTATGCCAGCTACAGGAAAATTCTTGTGATGCATACACTATGATACATGTCTTGTGATGCACATATTGTGATAACTATTTACGATAAGTGCGAAGCATGGCATCTCTATTTATAGGTACGCGTAAATATTCGTGCAAATATCCGCAGTGTCAAATGCATACTATACTGATATTGTAGATAATTCTTAATATTTCTATATTAGATCCTACATTATATAATTCTTCTCGAAACAAGCATTTCTATAGATTTTCTAAAGAAGTTAAATTTAAAAGTGAGTGGAGGAGAATTTGCAATATTAGTCAAGATGTAAAATGTGATTATTTTCGCATTTGTGAAGACTATTTTGAGCCTAAAGATTTCATGAATATGTCGAAGCATAAACTGAATTAGAACGCAATTTCTCTTGAAAATGCGAAAAGTTGTGTATCCTCAATTACACAATCTGACATATCTTCGAATAATGAACATGAAAGTACTCGATACGAGATTCCTCAATGCAAGACTCCTCTGACACACACACAAATAGCAATGCGGAATGTGAAGTTTCTTTAAGTGTTAATGTAAATTACAACGAAGTTATTTTTTCAACTCATGATATTTCTTTTTATACTTCCCAAACATCTTATAACACTAGTTACCCATTACTAATTACTTTTGATTTTGCTATATAGCTACACAAAGTACAACCTCAAGTGATCGTGATAATGATATAGGAATACTTGTTTCAGATAAAGACATTCAATTTCTAATCGATAACGAAATGAATAATAAAACTGTTCTTTCGGAAGAATATTTGAAGAGTAATAGTTTATCGCCAACTAAACAAAAATGTACAAAATACATTGTGACACAATGAGCAAATTGTCTAAATTGCGAAGGCTTTTAAGAAATGAGAAACAACATGTTGCAACTATAAAAGATTTATGTGATTGAAAGAAATTTCAATTGATTGATGAATCTTTAAACACAGTAACAAAAAATTTCATAGAATCTCAAATTAGAAATGCTAACAGAAAGCTCACTGGAAAACGATGGACAATAAAATTGAGGACAAAACTGTAGCACTGTCAATGTATAAACGCAGTCCACGGCTATATAAATATTTAACTACTTATTTTCATTTGCCTTCTACTAGATTGTTGAAACAAATGCTTTCAAAAATTCCTTTTAAGACTGGTTTAAATGAAACAGTTCTAGAAAATTTAAGAGCAAGGATACAAAAAAAGCACCCATTAGATCGTTGCTATGCATTGATGTTTGACGAGATGTCGTTAAGTACTGGATTTTATTACGATGTCAATAAGTAACAGATTTCTGGATTTGAAGATTTAGGACACTTACGAGGGTAGTTCGAAGAGTTCTCGGCCTGACACAGAAATAACGCTACAAATATCAAACTGCTATAATTTTAAACAAGTTTGATCCTTTACAGGATTACTGTTAAAATTTCGGACAGATGTGTTCATTAGTTTCTTTATTTCGGTCATGTAAAGCAGCCAACTTTTGATTTTTTCATGACAATGCACCCGCTCACATTTCTGTAATTGAAGAAATTTAAGCGAATATGTTGTTCCATGATGGAACCAAACGTTGGTTGCTTTAGGACGTGTTCGGATTCCCACCCGGATGCTCCCCGAGTGTCATGTTATTCTTAACGTTCGGTAAACAACAAGGATAGAGTGATATCTGAGTGACACTCGAGTGGGAATCGGAACCTAGCATTACACGATTAAACACATAATGTGTAAAAAAAAAACGCATAATGAACGCATCTATCTGAAATTTTAACAATAACACTGTGAAGGATCAAACTTGTCTAAAATTATAGCAGTTCGATATTTATGGCGTTATTTCTGTGTGAAGCCGAGAATTTTTCGAACTACCCTCGTAGGTTATACTATTAAATTAGTAAACCACGCACTAGTTCTAATGCTAAGGGGCATTCGTAAGTCTTGGAAACAGGTCATAGCTTATTACTTTACAGCAAATACAATCTCTACCAATGGTCTTGAAAGATATAATTGTATAGTAATTTCGCGTTTACAAAAAGAAAAATTCAATGTAATGGCAACGATTTGTGATCAAGGTGCTACGAATCGAGCAGCACTCATTCAATTATGCAGTGAGAATATTGAGAATCCCAACAATCAGTATTACTTTTTAGTTAACAACACGCGAATATTTATTATTTTTGATGTTCCTCATTTAAAAAAAAATATTCTAGAAATGCCATGCTTCGTTGTCAAATTAAGTTTTCTGAACATAAAGTGACTGATTTTGACATAAGGACTGCTTTTAACTTAGATCAAAAAAGAATGTTCAAGACATTACTAAAACGTAAAAGTGAACATTTTAAATTTCAAGATTCGTATGTAAAAATGAAAGTTAAGATAGTTGCTAGACAGCTTAGCAATTCTGTTACTGCAGCGATCGAAAATTTTGTTGCGGCACAAACTATGCCAGCTGCTTCTTTATACACTGAATTTGCACAAAAAATTAATGATTTGTTTGATTCATTAAACAGTTCATGCTTAAAACTTCAGAGTAACAAAAAATACGCGTGTGCTTTCACTAAAGATTCTCCACATTTCACGTTATGGAAATCAATGCTCGAAGAACTATCGCAATGACGTTTGATTGACAAACGTGGTAAAGATGTCACTAATCAATACTCATTTATTAATGGCTGGATTACCACAATCCAATCCATAAAAGAATTGTGGGAATTCTTGTACGATATCGGATTTAACTTCTTACCTTTGTGATCATTAAATCAAAATCCTGTGGAAAAACTTTTTTATATGATCAGGCAACATGGCACAGCACATATACAAATCTGACGTGTCATCAATTCATCGCAGCATTAAAAACATCTGTATTAAATAATTTTGTTTTACCAATAAATAATGGCAATTGCAAAGATGATATAGTTGCCAGCCATTAGACAATTTATGTACGTTTTTGACAACAGCTCATGTTGATAATAACAATGAATGCTCGCTGGAAGAAAATGATATTCCATTAACTTTAAATGACATAAATTTAAGAAATAATAAGGATGAATTGCTCACAGAAAATAGTCAAATATTGGCATACGTTGCAGGAAATATATTTTAAAAAAATAGTCATTCCACAAGATTGTGAGACCTATCAACGTAACTTATTTTCAGAAAGTACAGCTAAACATATATTTGTTTCTTTCAAAGAGCATGATAACATTACTCGATTAGCATATGCAAGCGAGAATGTGTTAATATTGACAACAACGGAAGTAGCTTCGATGATCTTGACCTTGATATATGTTGTCAAGGTCATGACTCTGAGTGACCTCTGACAGGTTTTAGTTGGCGGTCGTTCTTCGTTGAAAAGTTATTAACAAAAAAGTTTGAAAAATGATGTCTCCTTTCTACCATATGAAATAGAAATTTCCTGCTTTAAAGTATATTTTACGACTTTCCACGCGAAGCCGACTCCCACCCCACCTCCCCCTGCTAAGGAGCGCACGACTTTTCGAGATTGACCATATTTCTGTATATTTCTTTGGAAAGTCATACGTCCCCGTAGCAGGGAAGGGGGTGAGGTGAAAGTGGCTACGTTTACACCATATGCTTAGTCCGCGGCCTATACAATAAATGTCCTTGTTTATCCTGTAAGTTAAACAAAGACATCTATCGTATAGGTCGCAGACTAAGCGCACGATGTAAACGTAGCCAGTCGTTTCGCATGGGTTACACGATAATTTTCATAAAAAAAGAGGGGGTAACAGTAAAAACCCTTGAGGCATCACAGTTTTATTTTCTACGGATTGGTAACATTTATAAGTAGTATTCCGTTAGTTTGCGCCGATCGTGGTCGATCGAGTGTAAAAATAATGTAATACATGATAATTCGTGAACTGTTCGTGAACGGCTGTTATCGCGGAGGTTTCGTGTTTTATTACATATACATATATAATTATTTATTGTATATAGCATTATCGTGTGATAAAATGAAACGTAGACGTTTTTGGGCGAGCGAAAATCGTACAGCGAGAGGGAGTTGCTCCTACTGCGCCCGAAGGTAGCCGAAACGTCGAGCGCACACGTATATCGCCCGGCTTTTGTGTGCGTGGCGTTGCGCGGCTCAGATCTGGTAACACTGGCTGTATGTAACACGGCACCCTTATGGCGCGGTTCCATGGTGCGGAACGTATACGCAATGCGGAATTGACGGAACGATGTTCATCCAATCGCAAGCATTCCGTCAATTGCGCTCCGCCGATGTCTTTTCTAAACCAATCACGAGCGTTCCGCCAATTCCTCATTGCGTTAATTCCGCATCATGGGACCGCACCATTGGTCTCATTCGACGCGTTTTTGCACGAAATAGACAAATTTGACAAAAAAATGTCGCTCTGTCCCGCGGACCTTGATATTAATTGTTTAAGTTGACGGATACTCAGGAAATCTGTCACATCGACGGCATAGAGGATTGCACAAATTCTTTGCTTTAAAAGCGTTCTCTGCATAAATTATTTTCTATTTAATTTTTATTTTTACAGCAGAGAATTTAGTCAAGTATTTGTATGCTTTAAAAGCACTAATTCTCTGCTTTAAAACACAAATTCTCTACTTTAAAAACAAATTTTCTACTATAAAAACAAAAATTATATAGAAAATAATTTGTATTCTTAACCCTTTGCAGCACCGCGAACCGTATATGCATCACCTGATCTCTTGTCGTCTAGCGGCTCTTAAATGCCGTTATTATTGTTTTGTGATATACATTTTGTTTTTATATGATCTTCAGACATTGATTTACCTATGAATCATTTAATCAAGTTATTATTTTAATCTGGTAATTTGTTATAAATATAATAAGAGTAAAAATCCCAGTTTTTTCCGTAAAACCGTAAGGCATGGAACTCGTAATATGAGATACTCAAGGTATTTCTAATACGAAGTAATCTATGCTCCTATGTTCGAGTAAGGCCCTGCGCATAATGGAGGAAATGTTAGGAACAGGAATAGATATTAAGATTTCAACCTATCAGAAACCGTGTATTCCGGTGTAACTGGTATTTGATAGGTTAAAATCTTAATATCTATTCCTGTTCCTAATATTTCCTCTATTGTGCGCAGGGCCTAACGATTGTTGCTGAAGTATGAACGTTATTGTACAATAATAAAAAGAATAACCGGAATGAACATCGAGTGCCTGTTTCTGCGATGCTTGGTTCCAACTACCTGAAGACGAGTCCTGGGTACAATGTATCGCATGCTCATTTTGCGCGCACATTGGTTGTTTGTTTGCATTTTAGAAATATTAAATAAAGTTTTTTAATTGCAATACTGATGTACTTTGTGCTTTATTATCGATTTCTCGAGATCTCATATCATGTATGAGCACAATTTTTTTACTTTGTGATTTGCTCACTTTTTACATTTTTTTAATTTTCAGCAAAAATAGTATTTGAATTAAATTTTACATAACAGTATCTTAAAGCTTATTAAATTCCCTTTAAAATGACCTATTATTTTTTTTAATTCTGCCTATACATTTCCAGAATTTATCTAAAATGAGCTCGTATCTCTCAATACCTTTCCTCTATACAGGATGTTCCATTTTAATGTTCCACCCCAAATAACTTTATTTTTGATCTTAGAAAAAATGTTTCAGATAAAAGTTGTATGACTTTGAGGGGAGAGAGAGAGAATATAAGATTCAATTTCTTAAACGGAATCTATCTACTTTTTATTGCACATTCTTGTAGATCATCTCGAATTCTTTCCAAAACATTAAAATTAAGTTAAGTACCTTTTCGTTAAGTATTTGTTAAATTAATCCGGCCGGTCAAAGCAAGATAAAGGCACGATTCGGTGTGCAATAAAAAGTAGGGGATTCCCTCCGTTTAAGAAATTGAAGGTAACCTTCACGTGACATTCAAGCAACTATTCAAGGTCAAACTAACGACACCCCCCCCCTTCTTCTCTTATGTTCCCCTCAAAGCCATACAACTTTTGTCTGAAACATTTTTTTTTAAGATCAAAAATAAAATTATTTGGGGTGGGACATTAAAATAAGACATCCTGTATAAAAAAGCAAGAAAATATTTTTTTTAAATAGAAATTTTGTTTTGTTTTTCAGACTATATCCATAAAGTGACTATGTGCAGGAAAAAAGTTCGAAGTGACAGACAATTTGACAACGTGGATTACACACAGCTTACAGAAACCAATAATGATTTCTTTGATTCACAAGTAAGTAAAAAAAACAATATAATGATTCAGACATTTAATTATAAAATACTATTTATTTTCATTGTGCTTAAGAATTTATTATTTAATTTTTTTTATTATTTCATTAATCCTTCTAGTAATGTTATATTTAAAATTATATTTTGTACAATCAAATAAGAAAATATTTGTTATTTTTAGTTTGTTAGCCCACCAGTAAAAATACCATGGAAGGCTATTACGTTAGCAGTTCTCCTATTCATTGGAGGCACTATTATGCTCATTATAGGAAGCTTGATTGTGAGTGGACACATTGATTCAAAAGTAAGATTTATTTTATTGTTATAAATTATATAAAAATTACCATTTATTCTTTTGGTTTGTGCATTATATTTTACATAATAATTTTAAGCAAGTATGCAAATATGTTTTACCTAATATAGCATGCTCTAATAGATTTAAAGATATATTCAGTGTTGTGTATATAACAGGTACCTTTTGAAATACCTAGATATAAATATAAGTACTGTATGGGAAAAATATTTGATTACAGGTATAAATACATTTTTAAAAAATTGCTTAGTTATAGCATAGGATGCGTTTCACTTGACACTCGCAACGCTCGTGGAATCATTTCATCCTTGTTGTTTATCACATATTACATAAGGACAAAAATGCTTGTGAGCGTTGTGAGCACTAAATAGAACTAGGGAAAGTTCGGGTAGCTCCGTACGGCGAGTATCTCCGGACATTTGAATTTCTCAGCAATTGAGCTAAAAGCAAAAATAAAGCATCATGTCGAAATGCGTCCACAATGCGTAGAAGTAAATGCAATTCAATAGCGGCGTGAACGCTGAACGAATTAAAAATTCTTTATGAGATATATTACCGCCAATTTTCCGTCCGCTCTTATTAAACTTCGTAGAAGGTTTTCACATATAAAACATATGTATTACGACTTAACTTATTGATTGTATTATTGATCATTACATATACTTTACGATTGTAAAAATATTTGATTCTAGTTTATACTTTAAAGGTTATTAATTAAAACAGAATCTAAGTTATAGGATAGCCTCGAACGCAAGTCTTGTCGATACCCTCGGACACTTTTCTAATTATATTCTGTAAAAATGAATCAGTGTATTATCACTGACTTCAAAAATAGTAAATATTCGCTGATATTTCAGTTATAAGTGTAGCATTGAAGTCAGTGATAATATACTGATTCATTTTCAAACAGCATAGACGATTTGTTGAAACAGTTGTCACTTTTTCCTGATGCGTTTAAAAAGCGTCTAAAGAGCGTCTAACACGCTCACTAAAAACACAAAAAAGTGAGATTTTAACATCTTCTCTATACAAGAATGATCCTGTAGCGAAAAATAAAGCCACTAAAGGTAAAAAGCTAAAAACGGAAAGAAATATTCAAATACTCTCCCATTTAGATGGTGATAAAGACATAGAATACAATGTGAAAAAATCTTTGAAGAAGACTGAATTCAATGTTCTAAACGCAAAGGTTATGAAGCTTGCGTTGATATATATAGATCAAATATTTATTACTATTGTGACGTTTGTAAAGGTAAAGAATGCTTAAGTCATCGTTAACAAGTATGTCTAGAGCTACCCGCTATCGGTTTCATTGTCTAAAATTAGAGGGTGTGTGAAGTTAGCACCCCAACTATAGTACTCAGGAGTTCTGGTTAGAGTTCCCTTTTAAAGAGACGAAGAGTTCTATATAATTCATAACAAGAGTTCCGCTTAATAACTATTTTTTTTAATATTTTTTTAAAAATGGGGTGCTTCTTATCGAAAATCGAGATCGAATAGTTCTGAGCGGCTCAATAGCTTCATTTTGTGAATATCTAGAGTTCCTGACGTACAAAAAAAATTTTGGAAAATAAAAAGAAAATTAAAAATTTTTGAAAAATCAATTTTTAGATATAATAATTCTGATTAGAATTCTGCTTCTTTTTGACGAAGAGTTTTCTGTATTTTTTAAAGCGAGATTTGCTTAATAACAATTTTTAAATAATTATAAAAAAAATGGGGTGCTAACTTAATTCATATCGAAATTCGAGATAAAATAGTTCTGAGTAGCTTAATAGCTCTATTTTGTGAATACCTAGAATTTTTGATAAATAAAAAACAATTTAGACACGTAACAAAATTTATAAAAAAGAAAATAAAAAATTTAAAAAAAAAAAAATTTTTTATACAGAGTAGTTCTGTCACATGTTAATTGTCATTCTATCTATATTGAAGAGTCCTCAGCGATTAAAACCAATACAGAACCAAAAATAAAAGAGATATGTACTTAAAACGAAATTTGAAAAATTGATTGAAAAAACACGTATCTCTTTATGTAGCCATCCAATCGCTTTAAACCCTAATACTTTTTGACAGAACTCGTCGAGAACTGTTCAGAATTCTAATCAGAACTACTCAGTACTCTCAAAAAATTTTCGATGCCCCTTCTCATGTAGCGCATCTCGAAAACCGTTGGTCCAATCGCTTTGAGCCCTGATACTTTTCGACAGAACTCGTCGAGAACTGTCCAGAACTCTAATCAGAACTACTCAGTACTCTCAAAAAATTTTCGACGTCGAACGTAGAAAATTTTTGCTAAATAATACGTCATTATAGTCCTCGTGTTCAATGATTTTTACTGTAATCTTAATGATTCAGATTGAATCGTTAATGAAATTTTAATGAAATAATACTGAAAATTGGGTCAATTGATAGAGATTTCAGTATGAAATTCAGTAAATTTCGATGATATTTCATCATTTTTCATTACAATTTCAATAATATTTCATCATTATTTATTATAATTTAGGAAAAAATTTCCATCAGAGTTGTCATGCTCTTTTAAAATCCAGTAGTTTTTCAAATTAAACATTGAAAAGTCGATTCCTTTTGGGGGTTAAAATTAGTTTATAATATGACATAATGTATAGATCAACGACATATATAACATAGAGCATAGACTAAGCATTTTGTTCACTTAAAGCTGGAAGATGACAGAGTCTGTCGTTCCATTGTATCTCCTTCTATCTTTAAAGAAAGCATAGAACTTCAACAGTCACGGACAATCATTTAAACTAGGGATGTATCGAAATTACCGGATATCAGATATCGGATATTCGAAAATGTGACACCGGATATCCGGTCAGATATCTGGAAAAGGCTTCCAAAAAAAGCAAGGGAAAAATATATAGCTATATAATAATTTTTTTATCTTCCCAAAAAAAAGAGGAAAGATGAACCGCGCAAGAAGTTCAGTTGAAAAGAATAAAATTCTGCATTAATAACGCAAACTTTCAATATAAATTTTCAGCCGGATATATATTACCGGACACTAATGATATCCGGCTATCCGATCAGATAGTTAAAAAATACCAGATAATATCGGATATCTGATATTTTACAGATATCCGGTACATCCCTAATTTAAACTATCAATTTCTGACTTCATCCTTTACTAAAAAAACTTACTGAAAAATATGGGAGTGTTTGGTTTTGTTTATATGTCGTTGGTATAGATAAATAAATCTTATACCTATGTGTGTATTTGAACTTCTTTAGAGCCCCTAGATAGACTTCCGATCCAATTAAGAGAGAGAGAAGATCACAATATCATAGTATCTAAACTTGAAAGGTACCATACAAAAAAGTACTCAAATACACGTACAGGTATCGCCTATAAGGATCTAGGAATTGGCGCTTAGGTATTGCTAAAGTACCTAAGTACTTATACCTACGTATATTATACACACACAACACTGGATATATTAACTGATTATTCTAGTACTTGTTGAAATTACATATATTTTTATATATTACATAAAAATTCTGTTACATTGTAGTATTCAGATCGGATATGGCCAGTGATAATTTTAGGGGCCTTGATGTTCATACCGGGAGCTTATCATATGAGGGTAGCTATCTTAGCGTATCAAAAAGTACCTGGCTATTCTTTTGATGATATACCTGAGTTTGATTAAGATTTGTTACATCCCCCCCACACACATACACACAATACTTATTGATTCTATTTGAAAAAATCAATTTATAATAAGAAATCGTTTGTTTATACAGTAGAGATTAAATCGCATAAAAAAAGAAAATAATATATATTTTTTGTGATGGCATTTTATATAGTGAAAATAGTGAAATATGATACACATTTCTAGCAACTATTACCACTGTGTTCTTAAAAATATCTTCTTTACATTTATACAAATGTTAAACTAAAATGCAATATTCAAAATATAGTATGGTAAGAATAATTTTAAAATAAATTCGTCTATATTTATATAAAAATAGTTGTGATTGAAACAGTATTCATTACGCAATTATATGATACGTTTACATGTTTATATAATTTTTTTAGCCTGATAAATATACACAAATGTAAATTAATTACTATATCCATATAAAAATTCTTAAGTTTATTTATTTATATCTTTGTTTATTATGTATAGTTTTATACATACAAAGTAAATAGACGAGTTTAGGTAAAAATTTAAATATATATATATATATATAAACAGTAAAATGTTTGTCTCTGTGTGTGCATGATAAAATTATTAATAAAGTTTCAAAAATATAAATATCTGTAAGATAAAAAAAATGAAAATGAATAAACAAAATTTTGTCCTTATATAACATTTTAAACGCAACGTCACGTAATATAGAAATAAAATATAAATAAAGTATATGAAAGTCATAATGTTTTTTAAACACTATGCGCATATTTTTCATTAATATCCAAGTATGATTAAAAAATTTTTGAGCTTTTAATTAAACTAAATATAATGCGTATAAAGTATGAATACTCAATGTTATAAAATAAAATAACATTTTTTTACAGATTTTAAAAGAATAATATTAGAACAATATATTTTAACATTTCTCAGTACTTTCTCTCTCTCTCTCTCTCTCTCTCTCTTTGTACTTTGAAATAATGAATATTAGTTGATATTATTAATAATTAAGGAATTAATCTGTTGTTTGATCTCATAATGCATTAGTATCCGAAAATCAGAAGTATGATGTTAATTGCAATGTTCGGTCTTTAAATAATTTATAACGCTTTTGCTTTGTAATTTATATATTCTACCTTTACCACCTATCATTAATAATATAGATGGATCAAATCGTTTTAAAACATTTCTGATTAATGCCTTTATGTTCATAATAGCTTTGTTATTATTATAGTTCTGCAAATCTACGCACTGAAACTGTTCATTAATCGATTTTATCTGGAAATTAATAGTATAAGATATGTGATTGAAATATAATATAAATAATTAAATAGAAAGAATATTATTGCTAGTAAATACTGATAATAAGCCAGATGTGTCCAAAATATTCTAAACGTAATTTATAACAATCCCATTTATAAAAAATGTGCTTACCTCCAAGATAAGATATACTTTGATTTGATGAGGTTTAGCAAACTCAATCGCATGTCCAAAATTTATTATAAGCTGTTTTAACAATTGCAAAAATGTAAGATATATTTCTTCTTCTGTTAAATCAGTATTTATAATGACGTATGTTACTGGCCACGACTATATTGTGTGAATATAATATATATATATATACATATTTTTTAGAATAATTTAAGAATTATTTAAAAATAAAAATTGCCAGAAGAGAAAGGCTACGAGTCAAAGCTAGTCGTTAAGTGCTAATGATTAATATATCTTTAATATCTAATCGATGTAAACATTAAATATATAAACGTTTCAACCTTCATCAGGTCATCCTCAGTGTAAAACATAATAATTAAACTGAAAATAAAAATAAATATAAAAAGGTCGCAATATCGGTTACATGTCAGGTAATTATTTAAATATAAAATGTTTCTGATGTCATTAATATTAAAAGTAACTGTAATTTCGATGGAAGGATTAAGAATATATCGCACGACTCGTAGCCTTTATCTTCTGGCAATTTTTATTTTTTAAAAATTCTTGAGTCAGAATATTTTGATTATTTTTTAAGAATTACTAATGTTAAGAAAGAATATGCAAAAGTATTAAATAAGAAAATTATTTTTTATAAATTGATGAGAGTTTCTCTTTTTACTGTTTAATTTGTAAATAAAGTTGATTATGTTTACCTTCACTGCTGGATAGATACCTATTCCTTCTGCATAATTATACATCTGTCTTGCTAGATTTTCGTTCATATGAATCAATGTTGAAACTAGTGCGCGACACGTTGTGGTACTTAATGCAAAAGTATATTTAAGTACTAAGTTGGCTATCTCTGTGATTAAATTCGTATCTTTTTTTGACAAAGATAACATTATTAACTTATCCACGTAACGAGATAAATCTAAAAACAATAAAAATAAATTTTGTTAAATGTTATTAAGAGTACAATATAGTTTAGAAATTTTTATACATGTTATTAAGAATGCAATACAATTGAAATTAATTTACGATATAAATACGACAATCACGGGAATATGGTTGTAAAATTTTAAAACTTTACCTATTGGATAATACTGACTGCTTTGATCTTTAAGTAAAAATTGAAAAAGGAAGAAAGCATACTCAACAAATTCATTACAAAATGAATCCAATAACATGTATATTATTTTGCTCCGTACGTACTCATCATTAATGGTACTTTTAACAAACCATTTATCACGACTAGTACGTAAAATATTTTTGTCTGAAAAATTAATACAAATAAATAATATGTTAATACGATGAATAACAATAAAAGAAAAAGAAGATAATTTGAAATTTATTTTATGTCGATTTTGTATAATTGATAACGAATTAATGTTCGTTAGAAAGAAATTATGTTTACACAACTGTTAAAGAATTTTATATTTAAAATATTTATTAATGTTTTTATACTCATTATCAATATTTTTTGTAACATACATACGTTATTATTTATATACGTTAAAATAAAAAAAAACAATTGATCTCTGAAAATAAACTCACATTTAAGTAAATCACATGCTTTTACTGCCTTTTTGTTAGCCAAGTAAATCTCAGCCGATAACAAAAAATACTCGGCATTACATGGTAAATCATGTATATTAAGTGTTTGAATCAAACCTAATGCAAGCCCCCAGGCATCGTTGTCCACTAAATTGATCAAAATGTCTAATCCTAAGTCAAATAAGATTTTACCTAGAATATTGAAGGTATCCATTTGGACTGAAAAGTCCAAATATGTGAATTAGGTAAGATTATAAATAAAATTTGTAGTCTAAAGTTTATTGATATTTTATTTATTTTATTATATTACATGTGATACATAAAATATATGCAATACATACATCGTACGTTATTCAATTAATAAAGAATATTCTTTTATAATTTATGCATTAAATGAAAAAATATTTTAGAATATCAATAAGTAAAAAAATATGTAGAAAGTTTTATAGGTGTTATAATATAAAATTATATCTTTCGTCATATATAACTCTTGATACTTAAAATCTACAATATATATTACGTGCAATATATATATTACGTATAATTCATATATAAGTTGTATTTTGCTGTATATACATAGTAAAACGGTTCGTAGATATAGAAGTCATCTTCATATTGTGACTACTTGATCATCAATATCAAATATGAATAATGAAGAGAAAACGATGTCAATAAAGCAAGCAAGATTGTACATATAGGTATATATTATAATACAACCTATATTTCCCATCTAATACCTTTTAAGTATTTATGATTTTGTTATTAAAATATTTATTACCTGTACGATGTATGATGTTTCTTAAGTGATATTCTGAACGTTTTACCTCTGTACGAAGTATATTACAACAAGAGCGAACAAATAACGGACTTTCATCTTGCTTTTCTGTGTAATTTTTCAAAATATTAATAACATAATCATAATCGTGATGTAAAAGTCCCTTTTTAAAACGATCTAAATCCACATAAAATTTCCAGAGATGTTCATGATCTCTATAAACGGATCGTGCATCGGGTAAATCATCTACAAAAAAGTATATATATATATACAGATGTTTTAGATTTTATAAAAAATGTGTATACGCATATGCGTGCATATATATGTATGCGCGCATGCAAACCCGTACAATTATTCTCTTTTTTCTCACATAGCTAACAATAAAATAAATAATTACCGATAGGTTGCACAATATAATTTTCTCCATTCATTTTGATATTTACATGATCTTTACTTTTATTTATAAAAGTATTATTATCATGTCTTGGAGATTCTTGTGATAAGCTCATACTTCCATCAGGAGAAGCAATAGTTTCTGGTAAGCTTTCTCCGAAATTCTGAACCGTAGAATGAGAATTATTTGCAGTCAAAATACTGCAGTCAATTTTCTCAGTCAACATACTTTTAAAGTGTTCCAATATGTTTTTATTCAATATTAACGTAGAAGGAACTTTACTTATTAAGTTGTTGTTAATATCTTGACCATCAAATAACTTTTCATTCTCTATGCAATCACATAATATTTTTTCGATAATACGTTTATCCGGTGGCAATCTCAAGACTAAAGTTCTTACAGTATTCCAATATTCACCACGTTTGATATATTTTTCAGTACATTCTAATATGTTCATAAGATTATTTGAATCTTTAATGGATATATATTCTACCAAATAATTCACGATTGCTTTTAACGATAGTTGCCGGTTTAACAGTTCCTTAATAATATTCTGAATAATATATCTCTTTGATAAAAGTGTCATTTCTTCTTTTACATGACTATCATGAAATATTTTGTAAATTGTTAAGATCTGATCGACAGTTAATTTTTGTATTGAAGTTACATATATTTTTCTGCAAAAAAAATTATAGCCAAGATAGAATGCATCTTGCACTATATTTAGCATCACTGTTGGATCTTCTGAACAAACTGTATTAAGGAGATCCTGCAACTAGAAATATAATTTTATATATCAAGTTATATATAAATGATTATATACAAGTTAAAGAAAGCAAAATAATGAATAAATATTACCTCATGCTTAAATATACACAGATGTTTGTAACAGGTACCTTTCCTCAATAGCGAAAAACAGTATCCATTGAGGATCTTAAGATTAATTTTTGCTAACTCTTGGCATTTTGATACTTTCATGTTTCTAATTTTAAGTGCTGTTACTTTTGATATAGTTCTAGTTTCAGATATACAATCTGTATGTGTAATCTGTCCGGATTGATTATTAAATTCATTTTTATCAATTTTATTAGTTTTATTCGACGTTTCTATACTATTTTCTATACATTGAGCATACTCCTTATTAAATTCTGTTGCATTTTGTTTCATATATTTATTAAAACTGCTAGTAGTCATTACATATGGTACATCAGAATGTACAGATTTGTTTAATTTATCTTGTTCACATAAAACTGTATTTTCACAGCTATAAGAACAATTAAATTTTTAATTATTGCGAACATAATCGTAATCTGTAGATTATATTAAACATTGTAAAATATATTCATCTAAAGAATTATAAATATCTTATAAATGTTTAACAAATTTCTTTAATATTATAAAATTAAATTTCGTTAGATTTTTCTAATTTATACTTACAAATTTGTATCAAATGATTCTGCAAATAGAGAAATGCAATCATCATCATCATCATCATCTTCATTATTCGTATGTTCCTCCTGTATGGCATTTTCATGGATACTTTTATCTATTTGATTTAAATGTTGCGTCTTTTCTGATGTGCTTTGTAACATGCTATGCATACGATTGTTGCAAATTGAATCTGTTTGGATATCTATTTCTTTACACAAAGTTTTATTAAAAGTTGGTTCTTTTTCGAAAGAAAGTTTTTTGCGAAATTTTTCATTTTTTGTTGTATTTGTTGGAGTAATTATGTCATTTTTATTATTTAAATCTATTTGCTCAGACTCTATACTAGTTTCATTATTAAACTTATTTTCAAATGTCGGTAGTTTGGGAGATTTTGATCGTTTTTTATCTAAATGTTCACGTAAGTCTATTTTTTGTACGGGAATATTTTCTTCGGATATATTTGATTCTACTGCTGTATCGATACTTGGAAAGTCAAATTCTTGAGGATTTAATAATTTAGTATGTGTTACATTATTTTGTAGCCAAAGGGTTCTATTTAATTTCTTTTTTTTGTTGTCCAACTTTATAATATTTTCCTCTGCTGCACGCTTTCGATTCTGTTTTATAGTTTCCTTTTTGTTAACCAATACTAATGATTTGATGACATTAGAGTTTTCATTTACATCCACAAGATTTGAAGTATTCTTGTTTAAAATGTTTTCATCAGAACTTATTTTCTTACACTTTTTATCACTTTGTAAAATATTATTCTCGTGCTTTTCTCTAGTATTTAATCTATTCAATTGTTTTTGGCGATTCAAAATGTAGTTTTTTTCATATATTTCTGTTGTTACACTGTCAGTATCATTAATATTATTATGTACATTATTTTTTATTTCCAAAGAATTTACGTTCTTATTAACTTTTGAACTATGATGTTCATTGTTATCTATACTTTTATTTTTTAAATTAATGTTATTCTTAAATACAGATGTAGATTCTGATACTTTTGATATATCAATTGATGTATCTATTTCAGGTATATGACAGTCTTCCTCTATAAGAATATTTGTGGATTCAAATGTATCATTAATGTAAGAAACTTGTTTTGTACTGTTATTAATTTCATTAGAAACATTACTCTGTAAACTTTCGTCACTCGTGTTTACTTTCATAAATTTTATCATACCTTTTGGTAAGATACGATTTCCTGTTATTTTTGGCAAGTTTTTTTTTATTTTTTTATTATTTGTCTTATTTGCACATTGTTTTTTATTATGTATTGTAAGAAAATCAGGTATTTCAGTAATATCAGATATTTTAGTAACAGTAATCGGTGTCACATTTAAAGAGAATGATTTTGGAACACTTGTTGCTTGTATACTATCAACATCTAAAGTTGTAATTTTATTGCTTGATCTTTTTACATCTTTCTGATCTTGTGTTCTATTTATTGTATTATAAAAAGTAAAAAGATTATTAGAAAAACTTGCGTTTTTAGATTTAAAAGTAGTGATAAAGTTTGTCTTATCTTCAGATGTTCCTGGAATTTTATTTTCTATATCTGTGTTAATTGTACTTGAGAATATAGCTAAAAAGGTCAAATATTGCTTAAAGGTTTTTTAGATTAAATTTTTGGATATTTTCTTCCTTCATGATATTATCAAGCATATAATTAATGATATATACATACCTTTACTGTTTTGATTTGTTTTACATTGTTCTAATCTTACATTGCAAACTCTTCCATTAATAACACTATTAATTGTACATAAGTTATCATTATACTTCTTGATGGATTCACTAGATGTCTCTTGCATGTTGCTGTTACAATCAGTTACAACATTTAAATTTTCTTCATCCAAATAATTTTCATTATCAGAACTGATTTTTATTGATTCCATATTTGTACCTATTTATGTAAAAAAGACAAAACAAAACTTTATGCATAATACATAATACAATATAAATGTGTGTATGTGTGTGTGTGTTACCTGATTTATTAAACTGTAGTTTTCTTTTATATCCTAATTTACTGTCCTGTACATTTGATTTTTCATTACTACAATGCTTTTTACTGTTTGATATAAATTTCTTTTGTGTATGATTACAGTACATATGTAAGGATATGCTAGATGTTTCATCATTACTTTTACTTGAAAATGATTTAACACTAATATCATGTTTCAATTGTTGCTTTTGTGCTATAAGTTCTCCTGGTTGAATTATTCTGCGATTGTATGATACATCGTCTAAATATTCAACATTTTTACATTCTTCATTTATCTTTTTCATTAATTTTTTCGAACGACTTCTTGTTAATCGAGAAGTCTCATCCTCTGTATTATCTTGTTGCATATTTTCCTTTAACATCCATACATTATTAGAAGACTTTTTAGATATATTAATACATGGTGACGAATGTTTTAACTCCACAGTTTTCTTTTCAGAGAAATGCAATTGGTAAAGTTGAACTAAATTTCTATCTAAAGCAATATTATGCAATACAACCTTACACATACGAAGATTGTTCAATGTTTTTAACTTATTATTTTTTGCTTGTGTATTTCTCTTGTTTTTTGTTTTTGCCATTCTGTTTGATTAATTAGTTATACATACTTTGTGGTTGCTAATGCTTTACAAAAACCAGTTTCAAATTTCTTCTCTGTTGATAGTAATAAAGTCCTTTATGCATCTAACTTGATGGTGTATATTTTCATCAGTCTAAATTTTCGAAAAACGTCATTACATATTTTTCTTCACACTTTAGCCAAGCTGCATGGAAGTATTGCAAAATCAACCTAATATAGAGATATATCATTAAGATAATAGATTTTTTATCTACTTTTTTCTTTATCTATTTCATAATAAAGAGGCATGATAACATTATACGTAGATATCGTCTAAAAAACTACACAGTAATTTAATAGGAAAGACTACACCGAAAGGATATTATATTACAAGCAAGCGACTATTAGATTGTTTCTTTCATTCTCACCGTTATAAGCTTCCCTTTAGTAAGACGATGTCTCTTACTGTATAGTTTTTCGCAGATTATGTACACCGACATGATATTACTCTTAAATCCATTACCTGCATCCAAAAACGTACGCATATACCCATCACATGTGTTTCTTATTTGTCTCCTAAAAGCCAATAAAGGGAATAATTTACACACCCGATCGCTGATTTTCAATTAATTCCTCCAGTTCACCGCGGAAATATTTAAGTACTCATTTCGAGAATCGCAAGCATTTATATCGATACCCATGATGTAAAAAGACAAGGTGTCATTGCGCATAGTAATCGCGGCACGATGAGCAGAGCCAATGAAATTTGAGTCCAAATACACCCGCGCAATTTGAACACGAAATAATC